GGTCTGGAACTGCATTTCCCACATCTGGTTATGCTTTGCTCTCCCTGGAGTTTCTCCCCTTGGGAAGCAACCCTTAAGGATGCCTGCAATGGGCAGGAGACGGGCACTGTGCCCTCTGCTGATGAACAGGGTGTGGGGTGACAGTGGGGAGCATCTTCCCACCATCTCTCAGGTGTGCAGGAATCTCTCAGGTTTGACCCTCTTATGTCCCCTCCCTGTTCCACTGAAGCCACACTCTCCTTTGAGTTGCTCAAACAATTCCCAAGAGGATTTGTCCTCTTTTCCCTCCGTTGAGATGAAATCTCCAATGTGGAAGTTGTCTTAATTGTTTTAATTTAAAAGGACTTCCCTGCTGACAAAGCTACCTGAGATGCCAGTGCTGTCCTTGTGGGGTTTGATCTCTCAAAAAAGTCCCTGTCTCTCTGTCCTTAAAACCATTCAGGAGAGTTATTGTCTCCCTAAAATCCTGGTTTTTTTCTCTGAATGGCGCAGCATGAAATGGAAGTTGCTGAGTTATGGCTGTGTGTGAGGCATATGCTTTGAATTGAGGAAGGGGCTCATTTGCTTTATTCTTTTTTTTATTCCCACTTCGGCATAAATGGAAAAAGAGACTTGGGGAAAATGGAGATGTGAGGGGAGCCAGCCCAGAAAGGCAGGGCTGAAGAATGCACATTTTCTGTGCTTGGAGGAAGGCGTGGAAGGGAAGGGAACAGATAATCCTTTTCCTTTGATGATTTCAAAGCAGATGGGACTTGCTGTTTACTCTTTGCTCTCCATTGCTGTGTTTCCTTCAGGTGTCTTAAGTATTTTCCCACGTGGATGGTTCTGATGGTGGCTTTCTTTCCCTGTATTTTTGTTGTGGAGAGAGAATGTGTGAAGGGCAGCAGCCTCTCATGTGAGATCACGGATCATATCTTAATTTTCTGCTGATCTGAAGCCTCAGAGGAATGAAAGACATTTTTAGGAGGTGCTTTCATGGTGCTAAGAGCCAGTGCTGGTGCACAGTGGCATTGCTGAGCTTTTAGAGCTCCTCTCACCTGCAGACCTTTGTGCACTGAACTGGTGCAACAGGCACCGAAAGGACCAAGGTTTTGTGGCAGAGCACTGGCGCTTTTCCAAGGGATGGAAAAACATTCTTATGCTTACCCCTCGTTGTAACCTTCATTGTGCTTCCACCTTCAAAGCTCTGTGTGTCTTTTATACTCAATACTTGGACTTATCAGGAGTTCTCCTGCTGGTGGTGACTTCAGGCTGCAGGTCCAGGAGGTTCTCAGCCTCAGTTCCACACACAGGCTTAGACAGCAGAGTGAAGGGATCTGCACTTTCCAGAGGACAGAAGATACACGGTCTGAGGATCTTCTGAACAAAACCAAAAGCTCTTTCATCCCATCAGAAAAGCAGGGGGGTTGTTCGGCTTTTCTACCGGCAAAGCTTGGAAAACAAACAGCGAGTGGCAGGACTGGAACAGTGAGGCTGAGTGAAAGGGCAGAGAGGCTCAGGTGTAGTTTTGGTGCAGTCTGAGTTACTTCAGATGGGTTTGGCAGCATTTCTAAGAAAGATATTGAGCTTCTGGAGAGTGTCCAAAGGAGGCCACGAGGATGGGGAAAGGCCTGGATTTGAAGGCGTGTGAGGACACTGAGGGCACTTGGTGTGTTCAGCTGGAGCAGAGGAGACTGAGGGGAGACCTCCCTGCAGTTCCAACTGCCTGGGCAGGGGCAGAGGAGGGGCAGGACTGAGCTCTGCTCTGGGGGGAGCAGGGACAGCCCCCAGGGAATGGCTGGAGCTGTGTCAGGGCA